TTTTTTTTTTTTTTTTTTTTTTTTTTTTTCCAGATTGCATGCATTTGTGCTAAAGCAGACAATGAAAGCAGCATTTAGCTGCCCTAGTCCAGACTTCCAACAGTTGTGTTACAAAAACTGGATCTTAGACATAAGGTGAAAGAATGAGGCAGTACTTGTATTAATAAAACTACATATTTACAGACGCAAAGATACAATACAGCGAGACTGTAAAAGCAGTTATTTTGGATCCCAGGCTAAAGAGCCAGAGGATTGTCAAAGCAATAGCAATGTTCCTAAAGTATCAATATTACCAGATTTCTTTTAAAACCAAAATTTTCTTTCCCTTCCACTACTTTTAGATGGTATCTAGAGTTATCGCATGACATTGCTTTGTATCTAGAAAGGTGAAGTTCAGATAGACAAAGTGGTTGTCTACTTAAATAACTATCATTCTGCCATTTCTGGACAACAGCATTACATGGAAGGCACCTGTCTGCCATTATAAACATGAAATACTCTGGAAAGTCTTGCATTCCCTACTTACTACTACTGCAGATGAGGTACTTGCAGCTTGACTTCAACTACACATAGCTTGATAGCTTGTTAACTTTGTATCTCTATGTCCTGTTAAAAGCAGTGACCCTTCGCTGAAGGGTCTAAGTTTCCTAGAACCTGTTATTACTGTCTAGGTCAATTTAAATTTCAATCCTCTTTCTCTCCACCAAGTTCCTGAGCTTGGCAGTAGCTTATACAGGTGGACTAAATCTCCATGGTCTCATTACTCAGATCAGTGCTATCATTTAATAAAAACTAAGTAAATTTTAAAGCTGAAATACAATTTACATTCTAGAAATTTGGCACCTAAACCATTAACCCACTTCTGCTGTTAAGTGCTCCTACAATTATTTTGCGTTTAGGACACTGAAGAAGTTTTACCATTGTGTGGCTTTAGCTTTCAAGTCAGAGAGTATATTGTGGAAGCAGCTCCATTCTTTTAAAGGACAGGGGCCTTCAAACTAGAAGATGGGGTCTGCTAGCAGTGAAGCACAACTTGGAGACGACAACCATCAAATCTCAGATGGTCTGGAGCTACTCAGCAGTCAGTTTGCACAAAGATGTGTGTTTGTTTGGGTTTTTTTTTTGGTTGGGTGGCTTTTGGATGTGTTGGTGGTTTTGGTTTTTTTTTTTTTTTCGGGGGGAGTGCGAGGGGGTTTTTTTGTTGGTGATTTTTTGTGTTGTTTTAGTTTGCATTTTCTGATTTATTTTGGTTTGTTTTTAACATAACAATTCAGAACTATGATATAGATTTTGCCACAGCTGGTGACCAATTTGCACCCAACATCTGAGAGTGCTCACAAAGCTATCAACTGCTACCTTGTCAGTAGCAAGGTACAGACCCTTCACTAAATGGCAGTACTCATTTTCACTAGAGTCTATCCCTATGGTAGCATTAAGTGTCCAGCTGTGACTAATGTTCTTTAGAAAACACACACAAGAGTCCACACAGTAACAGGGATTATTCTGCAGACTAGGAGTGACTAGTGAATTTTTACTTTTTGAAAAGTACTGAAAGGCAAGTCAACAGGCTGGCTAATTACTTTCTATCCAAGAACTCCATTTTATGGTCTTATTTACATATTTTTCTGTAGCTTTTTAAGGTAGACTTTGTTTTGTACCACAGTAGTTATATAAGGAAATGTAGTGACAGGAGACAGTGATACTCAGAAGCCTTTAACTATAGCAGTCTCCAAGCAACATGTGCTTTTACTGCAATGGTAGTAGATTTAGTAGACTTACAGGACAGCAGAACTTGGCTTCTCAAGCTTAAATTTGGTACAGTGGCCGATCTCAAGTGACCTATAGTGGGAAGCAGCCAAGGCTATATGCACTTGATATTGGGAAAGAGACAGCCACCACCCTAAAATGACAGGAAGCCATCACATAGCATATGAAGAGATAGTTGTATCTTCAAATGTTTGATTCTCTGAAGCAGTGCTCAAGTTGACCAGTGCTATTTTTTCTGTATCAACTTGAGTTGGCATAGAACATTCAAGCCTTGAGTGTTAGGAATGCATGAAGCATAGTACTGCAGTTTTATTTGCTAGAGCATGTACTACGCTTGCTACTTCTTAAGATTTCTTGTTATATGAACACTGTTAATGCATACAGCTGCTGGTTTGGATGCCAAACTCAGGGGTTTTATTTCACGAAGTCTGAAGAAAGTAGTTTCACTACATAATGTAATGATAGCCTCTATTTCTGAGAAGGATACAGTTTTTGTGTAGTTACACTGAATTGAGAATCTGTCATAGAGTCCTCATGACATGTATGTAGTTACTGAGCCATCCTAACTACTGTTACCATTTTGGTCTAATTTATATTGAGATACAAATTAATACATACCATCAAAGCTGCCTTTCTCTGTGGCAAACTGTAACAGCTGATTGTATGTTTCAATGGAAGGTCGGTAAACAAAAACTCCTGAATTAAAACAGTCAGGCCAACCTGGATCTGGTGCTGCAGACAGCTCCTCTCTCTCAAAAAGCTCATCAATATTTGACAAAACCTAATTGTAAAGGGGTAAAAAAGAAAAAAGTGTTTTTAGGTTGGGAATTGTGGTATCATGTTTTCATGGATTATGACATCAACTTTAAGACATGAAAGAAAGTTCTCATATCAATGCTCTTGTCCTATAGAAGACAATACTTTATGAAAATAGTCCCCACAGACTTCATTACAATTAATTTAGATTAAAAGGCACACACATTCTTAAAGTTACTAGTCCCACTAGTAAAAGGTTTCTATTACCCCTACTCTTAAAAACAAACAACAAACCAACATAAACAATGTCATACAAGGTCATTAAGAGGTACCAGGACATAAATCTACTTACCATTGTGTCTGCGTCCATGAAAACACACTTCGTAAACTGTGTCAATTCCCAGCAGTGAAGTTTTGTTAGTGTGACACCTAACTCGGGTCTTTTCATTAATGCCAAGTGTGCTGAATCCCCACTGTCCAAGACGTTTACCAATATGACTTCATCAAAGACCTTTTCCAGCACTCTCCTGGGGAAGAGTCGAGATTTAATTCTATTGTTACTCCAGCACGAGACCACATGAAAGATTCCATAAAGAGAAGTGGTATAACAGGGAACATGGCAGTATTTCTTATTTCATCAGTTAATGTTGACTGCATATGTTGGAATGCAAAAGTTCCCCTGTCTGCCTCAAAGTTTCTAGTTTGTAATGGGCATATTTTGGGGAAGAAAGAAGTTTGGGTTTTTTTTTCTTCCACAAACAGGGCATTGCTACCAAGTCCAGTAAGTCATGGCTATGTAGTGCAAACTTTCCACAAAGCTTTTTTTCATCCAGACTGATTTTTGGCAACTTAACAGTCTATTTTGAGCAGGCAATTAAGAAATGGGAAGCTGTTGGAGTAGCTTGAGCAGGACAGTAGCTGAATCCTAAACAACTGAAACTGAAGTTTCTGCAACAGTTACAACAACACTCTTCTAGATTTTGGACATCTGGGACATCTGACTAGACCCAGTTGCTAAAACTTAGTTTATCCCATAAATTTTTTTCAAAACTCACTTAGTCGTGGGTTTGTGGGTACAGAAATGTTTTGAACCAGTATCATGTTCACTAAACAGTCACAAACTTTCAGGCACTGTAGTGAATTTTTGTGGCAGATATCCAACTTCTGCTTTGCCATCAATAAAGCATTACCATTAGTTCAAGAGAGATTAAGGCACTCTTGCTGCTTAAAATAGGAAGCATATGTAAAGTCTTGGTATTCTACAGTGTATCTCAAATGCTCAGCAATTACCAGTGCAGTTTGAGCCACAGAGCTTGTAAATGAGTTTTGGAACTCTGCCTTGCAAGGCTGACTTTATGCTGACAGTTTGGTGTGGACAGTTGCTTCTGAACTTAAGGCATACCTTGTTAGTGGAGACAGGGAGAGAAATGCAAGTTCTAGTTACACCATTCTGTAGGAAGGTATCAGTCTAAGGGCGTAGTACTAGCTGACTTGCACTAGCACATAAGCACATTTAGGATTGATTCATCTTAAAAGAGCACTCACCTAATAGGCTGGCATGGATGTTCCTATATGTAACATCTTAATATTGATATGGCCATTTAGCTGCCAGGAGACGGCAGGGAGAGTTAGACCTTTTTTTTTTTTTTTTTTGAGCCATCTCTCCACTGTCCTTAAATATTGAGAAATCTTTTTAGAAGAACTTTCCCACTTAGAGAATCTTGACCTATCATCTGTAGTTTTACAAACAGTATTAATTAACTGTTTTGGGTTTCTTTTCTTTCCTTGCACATGTGAAAAGAGAACCCAGTCCCCTCCATATTGAGATTATTCCAGAGAGGCTGTAGGAAGCAGTTGCCTGTTAATTTAATTTGTTGTACTGTGGTGACCTTGTTAGATGCCTCTTTGAGCTACTGATTTGATGTACTTATTGATAATTTAGTTCTGCTTGTTTTCTTCTCTCGTGATAAAATCTGAAGTATCTGCTAGATTTCAAGACAGCTTGTGTTATATTATCTTAATAAGGAATATTTCTGCAAAACAAATGCCAAACCCCTACTCCCCACTCCACAGCAGACAGACAACGCTAATGAATGCACAGGCAATATTGTTTTGTTGGACAATTCTAAGTAGGACTATGAAAGAGCAAAGATCCAGCTGAAATATCAGTATCAAGTCACAGTTTAGTAACTACCGACTATTTGTTTAACTCATCATAGGGAAGAAAAACAAAACCCCACCAGAACATAATAATAAACAGTTTCATGTTTGAAGAACGTAGAGAATTCCAGATAATGTAGATAAGTTGAATTCCACTAAACTTAGCTGTTAAGCTTCCAGAGTTTTGAAAGGTTACTAATAAGGAATTTAACTTTCATTTCTCAACCTGCACATCAGCAGGAACTGTAGCAGTTTGAAGTATATAAGTGACCTTACCTCATAAGATCTGAGACCTGAGGAGTTATGAGCGCAGTCAGCTTCCTTGTTGTTCTGTACTGTTGCAAGGATGAACCAAGTACCAGTGCTCCTTTCACATAGGAGTCATTTGTGGCTAGAGTCACAAAAGACTGGTCTGGAAGAAAAGAACTTGATCAAGTTAGTGTGATTCACTACTTTATTCTGAGACAGGCATACTAGAAACCTAGTACTGTTAGGTTATCATGCTGTGATAACTAAGATGTGCCTTTTAACTCTGTATGTAGGGCCTACCTACATGGCTGAACAAAGTAGATTATATTTGCACAGCTATACTTGCTATTAGTAGCTTGACATGTGGCGAAATGCAGTAGAACAGCCCACAAAATCGAGACCATTGCAAGAGAAAACCAGTTCAAATTTGCCCCCAAGTTAAATGAGTCACGCCAAATGTAGAGACAATCCAAAAAGTCTAAAGATCTTTACTTTGGCCATTAATATGCTATTTTAACCTAAAAGCATTTGGATTCTGTGGGCTTGCATTTGGCCTGAAGTTAGAAGGGTGTTGTAGAGTTACTGTGAGTTCAGCTCTCAACCCTGACGCTAGGGCACTGTAAAACTTGCATTTCATTTTCAAATGAAAGTAAGCAATTAATTAGATCTTGGACAACAGTTTTAAGTTTTGCTAGCTCAGGATTTTGCAGATGAGTAGTTCTGCAACCCACAGTTGCAGCTCTATCACCAAGAATGCAAGATTTAAATGGGAAGTAACTAGTAATACAAAAAGCAATTTAAAATTTGCAACAACAGTTTTTACTCTTCAAGCAAAAAAGAGGTAAGTTTGGATTGTTAATATAAAGTATAATCTGCTCAAAATGTACCACAGAAATAGATTAAGATGTGTTGTTTTGCCATATAGTGCTTATTGAGGCCATGTAATACGAGCTTTGCATTCTTTCAATTGTCATGTTGTTTTAAACTGCCAGGGTGGGACTGACAAAAGCAAAAAAGTAACTTACAAAAGTTCTTCAGTTCATTGTTAACTAATGTCATGTAGACTTCCTTTCGAAGCTACAGCTCTTTATAAAGTATGCTCTTTTCTACCAATCCATTTTCAACACTATCGACAAAATAGTTTCTTCTTAAGAATTTCAAGGGTAGATTTTCAGATTCAAGTTTATTTTAGCAACTGTGATTTCTTTACAGAATTTAACTAGGTTAGATCAGAGTGAGGGTTCTGGACACTTCAAGGCTTACTTTCAAGCCTAGTTAATACTGACTTCTCTGGGAGAGATTGTTTGGCACAACTCCTAAGTTCATAAGGGAGTCATCATTAATATCTTTTTAATTTAATAGCACCTTAAACAGTTGACGACAGAAAGTCACGTACAATAATTGTCTATAAGCTCTGCAAACCTGGTTTGCAAGATCTATAGACCAGCTACAGAACCTTCTATTTTGCTTAGCAGCAAAACCAACTAGTCCCAAGGGATTTAGATTATAGTGGTCAATCACAAAGATCAAAAAAGCTTCTATAATGCCAGGAATAAAGATATTTTGTTTCAATTCCCTTTTAGCTGCCTATTTGTACCAGTTCATATTCAGCAAGTCTGCTGAACAACTTTATATTTCTTTGAAATGGCAAGTGTGTAACATTTTAAGTGGTGTGAACATCCTCCACAGGTTTTTCACTAGTTAATTTGAATGTTACTACTCAATACATAGAAGTCAGCCACTCTATGCTCTCAGACAGCTCACTAAAAATCCCGTGTAGACAAAGTGGGATTGTGCCCAACATTCATCTGAGTGTTGCCTTTTTTTTTTTTTTTTTTTTTCAGCAGTGTAAGACTAATTCTTAAAGTGACCTTGCCATTGAAAGAATAGTCTTTTTTTCATTGACCTGTTAGCAGGTATACTTCTACCATGTCTTCTCATTTTATTGAAACTGAATATTTACACACAGAGGTCTATCTTAGAGAAATAAAGTCCATTTAATGATGGAGTAAAGGCTAAGAACCCCCGTTACATCCAGCTCCAGTAGGAGACTGTACAACTGCTTGACATGTGAATATTGCCAACTTGTAGACCATCCAAGTCAGCACAGCTTTCCAAAGTTTTGCATTAACTGTGTTGTATTTCAGATCTTCTCTACATTCATAAGTACATGAGTCCATGCTACAATTCAGGCAAGACCAGTTCCTGATAATTATGGAAGTTACATCTGCAAGAGACTAGCCCATTCTACATAAACTACAGGTATTTCAGCTGTTCGCGTCTCTCTTCTCAATTCTCTGTAAACATTTCCTCCACAGGATCTCATGTTTACACAGCAGCCACTGTTGCACCTGATACCTGATGACCTCTTAGTAACAACATGTCTGCAAAAACAGAGAATGAGATACAGTTGCAAAGCTTCATAACTGAGTGAGCCAGACAAAACCACGATACTTCAGAGACACCTTCAGCTGCCCGGTTCAGAGGCTAGCATCTCCCTTTGTAAGTTGTGCCAGCCCTTACACAGCCAAGAGCATCCTGGAAGTCTGAGCTAGGAACAATCTTTCATTTGACGGCGTGCAGGAAGTGACTGGAGTGCTTACCCCAGATCTTTTCAAAATTTCCCCGGAAGCTTTTTTGTAAGCATAGCCAGAGTTTACAGGTGCTTGCCTTTTCCCCTGTTCTTTGAATTAGGTACTCGTACATCTGAATTTTTTTTGATTACGGGATTCCTAGAGAGACAAGAGCATCCAGCAAGACAAGCACCGGAACACAGACTTCCTGCAGGCTTCTAGATCTGAAAATGAAACCTACTCCGCTGACAGCCTCAGGTACGGTAAGAATCGGGGGGGGAAAAAACGGAAGAAAGAAGCCAGACGGACTTAAAGAGGCGGTAAGAAACTACTCATTTTAAAGTATCAAAATCACCGAAGTCACAGGCTCTCTGTGGCGTTTCAGGAGAGAGCTGGGTTTTCCCTGTGAGTCGCTGCGGCCTTACAGTGGCCCCTCTCGCCCGTCCTGCTCCCCGCCACGCCGGCTACATCCCTCCCGTCCGGGGCCGGAGCCCGGGGCCGGGCAGTAAGGCAGGCGCGGCGCGAGCCTGCACCGCGCCCGTCCCTCAGTCCCCACGGCGGTGCCCGGCGGGGCGGCTCCAACCCCCCCGCCAGCAGCCGCTGTCCCCACCGGCCGTAGCCCACCCCCGGAGCCCGCTCGCAGCCGGGCCGGCCGCCTAAAAATAGGCGCGGCCGCCCCGATCCCTCTCCCGCTCCGCTCCCGCGGCCCTCACGAGCGGCGGCGCGTGCCAGGCGCGCACTGACCTGCCATGGTGCCCGTGCGCGGGTCGGCTGCGGGAGAGGCGGCGGCCGCGCTCGGGGCCGCGCTGAGGCCGCCCCTTATATTATAGGGGCGGGGCCACGAGCGGCGCGTCCGTGGCCGCGGGCGGAGGCCCCGCCGCGAGGAATCCCCTCGGCGCCGCGGGCGGGGCCCCCGCCATGACCTTCTGCGGCGGCGGCACGTCACCCCCCTCCTCCGGCCGGGCCGGCACCGCGACCGTGCCCGTGCCGGGAGTCCTCAACCCCCCGCCCACCCCGGGTGCCTCTCGGGTAAAGCGGAGCTTGAAAATACTCCACTGCTCGAATAGAGGGTAGGACTGTGTCAGGGAGCTGTGGCTCAGGCTGGCAGCGGCAGTGGCAAGGAGACCGTCTCTCCTGTGGCCGCTAAGCCCTGCGGGAAAAAGACTAACAGCAGGCCTGGTCCAAAGGCACCTACAGCTGCGAGAAGTGGTTTACAGTGTCCGCACGTGTCAGACACCCCCAGTCCTCCAGCCGCATTAGGGCCTGTGGCTGCTGCTGGCAGCCTGTGCCAGTGCTTGGTCAGTGCCTGTGCCAGTCACCCTCACAGTGACTGTTTCCTGATGTTTGGAGGGAACCTCCTGTGTGTCAGTTGGTGCCCGTGGCCTCTGGCCCTGTCCCCTGGGCACTGCTAGGAAGAGTCTGGCTGTCCTCTTGGCATCCTCCCTGAAGCTGTTTGTACAGGTGGATGAGATCCCCTGAGCTGCTGCTTCTCCAGGTGGAGTGGTCCCAGCTCTCTCAGCCTTTCCTCGTAGGAGAGGTGCTTTCTTGTCCCTCTGTTATTCTTGTGGCCCTTTGTTGTCCTCCAGTATGTTCCTGTCTTCTGTTCTGGGGAGCCCAGAACTCAGGACAGTCCTGCAGGTA